ATAATAATAATAATATGAATTGAATGAAAAAATGTTCTTAATATTACATATTAGTATAATTTTAGATTTGATTAGAGTTTCTTGAGATGTGAATGGTTGTGAATGAATATCCTCAGTTCTCTCTGTTTAAGTCTAAAATTACACTAGAACGATGATTTCCCTCAGGCTCAGTGATTATGGTGATATTTACCTCGTGGTAAAGAGTTGAAATTGAACGAGGTCTCTTGCAATTTCAGCTCTTTTTTGAAAAACACACGAGTGCAAATAATCCCAAATTGACGAGAAGTCGTGTTATTAAGAATAACAATATTATAAGAATATTCATGAAAAAGGTACAAAAGAAAGAGACTAAAAAATAGGTGAAATAATCAACAAATAAACTTAAATATTTTATGAAATTCAAAGTGATTATGGTTTCAAATACATGAATTGAAAGAGTTTTTTATTTGTTTATTTTAAACCAAAATTTGGCTATATGTTTATCGTAAAACGTTTTTTGCTGTTAAGAAAATCTGAATCACTATGATTGAAGACATTTGGATTGGCTGACTTGGCAGCTAATTGGGTTGTATATTGAAAAAAGTTATACCTGAAAGTTGTTGAACGTGTTCAGAAAACTTTGCGGCCCAGTTTTGGAATCTTGTAGACCATAATATTGTGTAAGCACTGATATCGTGTTTGATGGTCTTGCTCATAGTCATAGTCATTTTCGTTTCTGTTTAGTTTTTTCTTTTCGGCAAAGAATAGCTCGAGTATTGTCTTTAGATCGGCTGGCTCATTTCCCTCAATTCATGTCATAGCTTGTTTTCTTCTCACTATTTCTTCCATATATTCAGCCATAACGATGTACTTTTACTTGTGTTTTCTTTTTTGGCCTGATTTTTTTTAGCTGTTGATAGTAAATTCCGTAAAATCTTTGCTTTCTTTTAACTAAGATGAAATGGCTGCCATTTTTTTACCCTCGATTTGCTTCAAATTTTCCTCAAATTTTTCGTCATAAAAAATCTGTCATCTTATCGGCTAAAATATTTTTCTGTTGCTTATTATCCAGTCAAAAGCGAGCATACCGTTTGTGTTTTGCGCTGTTTTACGCTTTTCTGCACTGAATTACACTTTTTTTGCGCTGCATTACGTTTTAACAACACTGCGGTAAGCCAATCAGAATAGAGTAATTTTTTAAATGTATGATAATCACTTCGCCTTACAATTTTCCAAGCTCAACCAAAAAAAAAAAAAAAAAAAATTCTGACAAATCGCAGCTGTTTGATTCTATTGTCTAAAGATATCTTGTAGGTTTCATGTCGAGAAGGAAAGTGAATACACAACAAACACAATAAAATCTGACTACCGTGAATTATTTATAGTTTGTCAGCAATAACCTACGAGGAATCGTTGTCGCCAGAAAGTGCTTTGGTGGTTGTTATCAAAGCTAAAGTGCTAATTTTAAAAAACGTTTGAGATCGAAAACTGAAGTATACGCAGAGTTTTTAAATGGACAAGACAAGACATGGTATTTTATACTAATAAATATATTAGTAGATATTTGTATATATTGTAAATATAAATCTGGATGCTTGAGTCTTTACTATGAGTAGAGTGTTCGATGCAATAAAGTGCAGAGCGTAATAGATCGTAGATAGATCAAATACGAGACATCACTTTAGCTGCTACTCCGAGTTTTCACGCTTACGCGATCATCAGACAGACTTTAATGAAGAATATATCTTACGTAAGTGGCCTATGTATACATGGGTGGAAATATCTATATTTAGTGTAATTGTATAGTTAAAATTAAATGAACTATTGTTCTGCGGCTTTCTGGATTTGTTTTAGGTGCTCATTAAGTGGTACTTGTTCTCATGGCGGCATTTAGAAATTAATTCCGATCTTTTGTTGAAGACTTTCTGTTAGGCAGAAATTACACCTTTTGGAGATGTTATTGTATAGACTTGCTGAGGCTATTATTGACCAGTTGATTATGTACGTATTTTCTCTTGACGTCTTTTCGTTTCCAGATATATTTTGAGAGTTCAGTGCTGTTTGCGTATTTTCTGTTCCTAAATGATAGTTTCGTTGTTTGAATGTGCCTTCTGTCAGTCCGATGTAGTTTTTTACTGTATTGTCTTCATTTGTCGTTACGCGTGCTTTGTATACAAGGCTGGTTGAAAGGCAGTTGTTGTCGAGTGGGCATTGTTCTTTATTTCTGCAGTTGCATCTGTCCTAAAGGTGAGTCGGGTTGTTGTTGATTATTGTCTTGTTACGTTGGTTGATTATGGTTGCTGTTACCCTTGCAGCTCAGTGTAACTGACTTTTACGTTGTTCTTGTTGACGAGGCAGTGGAACTTGTGTCCTAATTGGGGGAAGTGTTTCTGGATAAGATTTTAAAAGGTTTTTCCGATGTTGGTTTGGACGTTTTTGCTGTATGGAGGGTTAAACCAGGTTGTTTCTTTTTCTGCTTTTTCTTCTTGGCGTAGAAGTATTTTGGCTTGGAGCGTATGAGAGGTTTTCGGTAAATCCGCTGGATTTTAGTGCCTTTTCATATTAGGGTTTTCATGCTTCTTTGTTGAATGAGATGTCAGATATCCTGTGGTTGATGGCTGCGGGTAGCTGTCTGAATATGTTAGGTAGGTGGTTGGATTTTTTGTTGATGTAGAGAGGCTCTTTGTTTGGTTTTCTGTAGGGGCAGTATGATCCATTCTCCAGGTTGAATGTGACGTCAAGATAGTTTACCATTTTCAGATCTGTATAGGTCTGTATAGTAATATTTGGGCCGTGTTCTTTGAAGTATCTCGATATGTCTGCCTTCTAGTCTTTCTCCCTGTGAGCTTGTGGTGTTCTTGAATATAGCAAGTCCGTCGTCCCTGTATAGACCTATGTTGTCTTTTCCGTACTTGCTGCAAAGATTGTTTAGAATGAAAAGACCAACTAGCCCGCATACTTCTGCTCCATCACAACACCCCATAGTAACGTCAAACATGCTGTCGTTGTCATGGTCTTTTTTACCCAGGCGTTGTCGATTTCCTTTTGATCAATTCTATGGTCCATAGGCACTGAGATGTCAATCAATTTCGCCTTCTTCTTGCTCTTATCTACGACTATGATGTCCGGTCTTCTTGCTTCAATCTTCTTATCCGTGTAAACTTTAAAATCCCATAGGATCTTGATCTTTTCGTTTTCCACTACTTTCTCTGGCTCGATCGTGATCCCACCAATTATCTGCAGTGCACTGTATTTGGTGTTTTCTACATAGGTGCCAATGTATTGTTGTTGCCACTTTGTCATTGTACTGATAATAGTGATTAATGTACCAAACATTAACAAAAACACTCTTTAGTAATTACTACTTGTTGGGTTACCTGTGTAAGTGCCTGCCTTAGGTCAGCGGAATCTCACGTTTTGTAACGACGGCCATGTTTGTGTAAGCACATGGTTTACTTGAATAAAGCCTACTTTCACGGCTTAATCGTGTATATTCTTCACTACAGTCATGTCTGTCCTTGTACTCATTCCCTGCCAGTACTTTGCAGCCCGCAGCTACAAGGCGATCGACCGCACGATGAATCACTACTGTTGTACTTACTTCTCAAGTAGTTGGTAGGTAGTGCTTGGTCCTGTGCAGCAGCGAGTAGTCCTTCCGTCTCCATTTAAATGTCTCCTTTCTTTAGCCATAGCCAAGGGCTCTCCTTATCCATCTTGTCCTTGCACGTCTTGATGTAGATTCCGTGTAAAGTCTTGCCTTTGTATCTTTCAAGACTTTCGTTCGGCCTGCGCTGTTGATATTCTTTCTTGGTCTCTTCTGATTCTTTCACGGTGTCCCTTACAATGCTCCATAGAACTTCATGTTTGCTGACATATTCTTTCTTTCAGGGAAAGTTCTTCCTCTCTTACAGTGTCCTCTACGGTTTTAAGTCCTCTTCCACCCATAGATCTTGGAAGATAGATGCGATTCATATCCGCACGTGGATGTAGCCACGTATATTATTATTGTTATCACGTATAGTGTTATTATTATTATTATTCTTTCTTATTCTATTATTATTATTATTGTTCTTTTATCATTTATAGTGTCATGTTACCTACGGCTACGCCTCGTGTATATATATCGTATACAGCGTATAAAACATACCACTCATACCAAATATATTACATACAGCCATATGCAAAAACTTTGACCCTTTCGTACATATATACAAGTATATCAAAAGCACATCATAAGGTTATGGGATATCATTTCTGTATATGTGCCTTCTTCGTAATAGGTAACCTGCTCTGTAAGGGAAGCTATTTTCTGTATCAGGTTCTAACCATAGCTTTTTTTATCGTATGCCGTGCAAAACCGTTAAACTAAATTAAAAATAGAAACGTAGAACATTAATGTCATAGGCACTTTGAATTGAACTACATTGCAATTTGATTTTATCTTTTTATCTTCTACAGAACAAGTGCATGGGCTCATCGCCCTGCCTGTACAACGGTACCTGCTACCCTGACTACGACAATGATGACTATAATTGTGTTTGTACTAACCTAACGACAGGCAAAAATTGTGAAATACGTGAGTGCATACACTGTTGTTCTTAATAGTATCATTGTCATTGCTTTTGCTACTGCCCCTGCTATGGTAATAGTTTTATCATTTTTTGCTATTATTTTTTAAAATTATTTATTAACTTTATTATTTATCATTTTTATCTTATTACTATCTTTTAAGATTAAAAGTAATCCCATTTTCTATATATTATATAACTAACTTGAATAGATTCTCTAATGACGTATCATACGTAAACTACAACAATCCATTTCAAAAATATTTGCATATTCAAATATTAAAACTCCTGTGGGAATACTAAGACAATAGTAAAAGTTAGCATAACAAAAAATCTTTCTAAGGGGATTGTGGTAGTATGAAACGTCTAATCAATAGACGACTTACACTAAGAGGTCACGTGATAAAATCCGCCAATGTGGCTGGCATTCTACAGGATTTTAGCTATGCGAGAATGTAAGAAAAGATGGCGGATTTGGGTAATTTTTTGTGATAAAAGGTAAATTAGCGCACTAAATAACGATAAAAATCCCTTTTTCTTGAAAGAAATACATTCTTGGTATATATAGTATATAGTAGTATAGTAGTTCATACTATATAGTAGATATTTGCTATTAACTAGCCAAGAAGAGAAAAAATATGGTATTTTTTGCGATACCATGTGAAGACCTACGAAGTGTTTAGTCTTGTGTTGCCGGCTTCATAGCCTCAAAACAACGACTTCTTGTCGAAACTTTTCAAGACTTTTTCAACTTCATTCTTAAAAAATGCATTTTTCTTGCAAGAAATATACTTTTAATAGACATTTAAAGTAGATTTTTACTATTCATTTGCCAGGAGGAGGAAAAATATTGTATGTTTTGAGGTCATGAAGCCAGCAAAACAATAGTTCATATGCGCATGCTTTTCAATTAATTGGCATTGAAAAAAATTAATTCTATTTCTGAAAATTATTGGTATAAAGGAAAGAGAGGAGTTGAGGTCACGGAAATAAATTTATGATTCAATCCCTAATTTTTGATCTTGGCGTTATCGCTTCTCGCTCTTATTTATTTAATTTTTTTTTAAACTCAATACATTGTAATTACGTATACGTAAAAACGCGTAACATTTTAGGTTAAAACTCCTCATGAAACCCAATTGTCAACCTATATTTTACTATGAAAAATAAGATTCATGAGTTTCTAATTATAATGGTTTTTCAGTTAAATTCAGTTATAGAATATTTTTTTGTCTTCGAAAGTTGTGCTTGAGCGCCAAAAAAAAAATTAAAAAAAATTTAAAAAGTAAAAAAATAAAAAGATAAAAATAAAAATAATAATGAAAATGAATAAATAATAATAATAACAATTGTGATTCATTGCGCGCCAATTCCGTAGCGTTCAACGACATCAGACAAAATATGAGAAATAATATTCTCAGTGCCAAAAAAAACAAAACAAAAAAACAAACAAACAACAACAAAAAAAAAACCAACAACAACAACAACA